GCAGAGGAAGACTCTCTGTAGTGACTGTACTCTGCCACCTTTCTCAGCCATATCAGACAATGAGGATTTTTTGTCTCCCCTTACGTAAAATGCACCTTTACTTTCAATCCCTAACGCATTTGATTTCACTTATGTGTATTGTGTTCTTGTAAACTACTGCTAAGTTTTTGGAGATGATGTTATTTGTCAGGCAGGTACTCTGGGGAGATGGCAAGTTCCACAATTCCCTGGCCATCCTCAGAAATGTTGTTGCCAATAAAAAATTAAAAAAAAAACCAAACCCCTAAACTCCCCAAAAATTAACTGCTCTCAGGAGTTGGAGACCTTCAGGGGTAACTGTGTATAACAGGTTTTGGCTGCATGCAAGACTTGTGTTTCTTTGACAAGGAAATGGGCCAAAAGAGGATCTGTGGAATAATTTGTTTTCTTTCACATGAACACAGCATGATTAGGAGACATTCCTGGTTGCAAGTTTGCTTATATTTATATGGCTTTTTATGGGGTGTTAAGACTCTAGTCTTAAGTGTTGGTTGAGAGTTTTCAGAAGTTAGAGCTGAAATTCTGGCGCCTTATTTTAAGTAAGACTTCTACCTTCTGGCCGCAAAGCATGTTAAGACACTTTTTCTCCAAGGAAAGACTTAAGTCCAAGTGACCATCAGGCACATGTACAGAACTTAAGATTTCCCAGCTCAGTGTATGAAGTTGCTTGAAACCAATGAGGACACAAGTAGCCCTGAGGGGTGTTAACTTGTGGTCTGGTTGCAGCTACACATTTTAAATAATGCCTTTGTCTAGATACTCTTCTCATCATAAAATAGCCTGTGAAAGAGGTGAATAACTACTGTACCATTCTGTACGTGGACTGTAAAATCCATCTTCTTAGATGGTAAGGAAGTGCGGATGGGCTCTCAGTTGTTCGCTTCTTCCCTTTGTTTCATCAGTGAATGCTGCATACAGAGTAGGTGGCTGAATCTGAAGCCTGTCTCTCTCATGCTACGATGCAGTCCTCAGTCCTTTATTACTAGCTACATTTGCTCTACCATTTAATCCGTTTTCCCACGTTGTTATCCACGCTGTCCCACTGGCAACCAAAGGGACTAGACAGAGTGATTGATTTTCAGACAACTTGGAATAAAAAAAAGTCTTTTATCTGTAGTCCTGCTGCTTGCAAACAAATGCACAGTGGACACAATGAGACTGTTTGACATGTCAGAGGTCTATTTCTTTTTCTTGGAAAAACATCTAATGTTCCCCTGTTTAAACTAAAAGAGAACATACATTATCTGTGTCCTGCTTTCTATTTCTTAAACAAAAACCAGCTGGTACCAGTGCTTGCCTTTAGGAAGAGACCATCAGGAAGTTAAAATAACAAATCTTGGCTCTACTTAGTTGCCACAGTGATGTATAATTAACCAGGCTGAAGTAATGTTATAGAAAGTAAACATAAGGAAATATTCTTGCTAATGGAAAAAAATTTAAACTGAAGGGACTGAAGATTAAATTTTAATTGATCATTTGCAATTGGACATATATGTTTGCATTTATATTGTAATTTGATCAAAATACTATCTTTGTATGGTCAGAAAGAAATTTAAATGAGTTTGAAAGCAATAAAACAGGATTCTGAGACACATTATTGATGGTATAGTCTTTGTAAGAGATTGGTGTTTCATTGATTTGTGGGGATTTGGTTGGGGTTTTTTTTCCCCTCCTTGTTGCTAATAGAACTCTATTTGAAAAACAACACATTTCCCCACAACATATCCAGTAAGAAATTAATAGAGAGAAAAAAGGTTGATTTGGAACAAATGGGAAATCAGATAAAGGCAAACCATTCAGTGTTCACCTCTTGCAGCTGATATGCACGCACCTTTTCCAAGTGGCTATGACACTGATTCAGAGTAATTTGTTTCTTTAAATACCTTTCTTTAAGTGGTAATTGTTAAATTATCCTAATGTATTTTAAACCAAGAAAGTTGAATGTACGTTTGGAAGGCCACACACATGCCAAAAGAAATTGATGTGCAGTTTCCCAGATCCACACAGGAGGAAGTTTCAGTCTGTTTGTGAGGTTTATGAGAGAGATGAGTTTAGGCATGGGATGCTGTTAAAGAATTAAAACTGTGGAACATTTTCTATGAGACACTCGTGTGCTGAAATGTGGGTCAGGAGCAGTGGGATAAAGATTATGTACTTTTGGGAATCCTATTCCTTGTAGTATCTCTCAAAGACACGCTTTATGTGCAGCAGTCTGGATGTACAGCGTAGGGGACGCTCGGTAAAACATAGCTGTGGTAGAACCATGCACCTACTGACCCTGAGGGGAAGGGGATTAATCCTTTAAGAACTTTTATTTGTTCTCTGCATTTGGCCATTTTGTTCTTCAGAACTTTGTTTTAGACTCTGAAGGATGTTACTAAAATCAAGACACCATGTGTACTTAGTAATAGGCCTTGAGAAGTTCTATGCCTTATCCTCTCTTGATAAGATTAGTGTAATACTTTCTCTTCTGGAAAGCTAAGATCCATAAGTGACCTTCAGCTTGTTTAAAACTCTGCTGTAAGTACTGTCAGAGCATATGTTACTGATTAAAGCAGCAGTTCACCTGCTACCTCTCTTAATAAAAATAATTCTATTATGTACTGTCATTTAAGGCCCATTATTCTTCACCTTCAAACTTATTCAGTTCTCCTGTCAAATTTTAACTTCACAGTGCTTGTGTGTGCTCCATGCGCATTACTCCCACGGACTTGAGCAGAAGACAGTGAAGGTTGCTCACTTTGGCACTGCAAAGTGCTGAGCACTCTTGGCTCATGTTGACTTCTCTGACAGTGGAGGGTATGCAAGTCAAAGCTTGTTTTTTTACCTTTAAGGAAAGTATCCAAATTATCAGGTTGACCAACTCTTGCTTTAAAATGTTGGATGAGCTTAACAGGAAGAACATGTCCTTTTAATCTAATGGAGCAATGGGTAACATTCTTGATTACCAAGCTGAAAGCCAAGCTACCAGCAAAAAGGATGAAACAATAAAATAAACCTCTAGATTGTATTCACAGCTTCCTCTTTTGTTGCAGTATGTCAGGGGAAGTTCAGATTGGACATTAGGAAAAGGTTCTTCACTGAGAGTGTGGTTGGTCACTGGAACAGGGTCCCCAGGGAAGTGGTCATGGCACCGAGCCTGTCACAGTTCAAGGAGCATCTGGACAGTTCTCTTAGTCATATGATTTAGTTTCAGGTAGTCCTGTGAGGAGCAGGGAGTTGGACTCAATGATCCTTATAGGTACCTTCCAACTTGAGATATTCTACTATTCTACGCTATGCTGAGTAGAAAGATGTTTTGAAGAATGAGCCTGAACATGTTCCTACTCCTGCTGTAACCTAGGACATTATCTTTCTGCTTTCTAAATGACTCGTATTCACTCAGAATTGCATCTTGTGATGAAATTAGCCTTGGCTAAAAATGTATTTCTTTCTGTCATTTTGTAATTTCTTACTTTTCAGTTTGACTCGGTGAACTTTCAGTTTGTGTGGCATAAAAATGTGCATAGAAGTACCAATTCATTTCCAGTAAAATGCCCAGGTAGTTCCTACACATCATGTCCTCTTTTATTACTGAGCAGGATGTGGATTCCTGAGGGCCCCCTCACATCTGAGCATTGTGTAAAAATAGCAGCTCCTGAAATTACAGTCACTGTCAGATTATTGATGGGGGGATGGGAAGGTTTGGCATTTTGATTCAGAACACAAGAAAAAAATATACATGACAGAACAAGTGGGTTTGCCCATATTTGCAGGAGGAGTGCAATATTTCACCTGAGGCAAGGTCTAAAATTATGCTTTCCCCTGTTTGGCAAGGCCCTATTGAAAAGGAGCCACTTCAGCAAAGCACCAGTGTTTATTTTGTTCCTTAACGTCTCCTATGAAGCATTTGATGGTAAAATGAAAGCACTCCATCCTTTCAAATTTAGTTTTTAATATTTATTTGGCAGATCTTACCTCACAAGGGGGCCCAATACCCTGAAGCAGCCACCCTTGCTGCTGTCTGACTAAGGAGTAACACTGGAGTGAGCTGTGAAAGCGGCTTCTTACCTCCATCTTCTCGACAGGAAATGCATTGGTTGTTGCCAAGTGCAAACACTGATGTGTTCACACTTTTAGATTGCTTTCAGGCAGAAAATTGCTGCAGATTCAAAGTAGTTTTTTAAAATATGCCAATATTCAGGTAAAATTGGCATTCTTATGGTGGCTAAGAGGCTGTATCGAAATCCTACTCCACCCCGACTGCAGAATTGCTAGTATCAGATAGCTTATGCGTTATATATCCTGTATATTATAAAGATTTGCTTGAAGCTCAGACTTAACAAGCATAACACAGAAGGACTTTTGTACAAAGCTTGAAGAGTTAGTCCTTGGCCTTTGGCCAGGAATAAAGAATGCTTGCCCTTGTGCCATTTTGTCCTGTGCTGCTCCAGTTCTGGCAGCAATTCTGCTTCAGTGTAATTGTTGGCACTGAAGCTCAGCTGAACCCTGAATGGCCTCTTCCTGCAAGCAAGCAGGGGTGCAGAGGTCTGAGGCGGCATCAAAACTCTGTATTGATCAACTGTAATAGAGGACTCTATTATGAGGACTCTTCATATCGGAGCCGAGCAAATTGACTATGGCAATGCAGTAGTAAAATACTAAAAAAAGCCAGAAAGCGTGTGAAGTAATTTTCAGTTTTTCCACAGGATAACGGAGGGGCTAAAAGAATAAGAGAACAAACAGCTCCTTCTGGGACAGTCACTGTTTTGGCTCTCTATCTGCAGTTGTTGTTGATCTCTCTTTCCTATCTGTGCTAAGTAGTAGCTGAGTTTTCCATTCTTGTCTGGACCAGACACATAGCATAGTCACAGCTTTAAGTGATAAAGTGTTTCTTATTGTTTGCAAAGCTTGCTTACTCTTGTTTATTCTGCTTAACTGTTCTTTTAAAAAAAAAAACCTTTCCCATTTCATTGAGGCAGATTTGGAAGTCAAACCAGAAACTTCAGACTCTACTACGATGGAAAGCACTTTGTTGGGGAGAAACGTTTTGAGTCCATCCATGACCTGGTGACAGATGGATTGATTACTCTTTATATTGAAACGAAGGCAGCTGAATACATTGCCAAGATGACAATAAATCCAATTTATGAACACATAGGATATACAACTTTAAACAGAGAGCCAGCACACAAAAAACATATGCCAACCCTGAGAGATGAACATGATGGCAAAGAGTCTACAGGAGAGGATGAGGTAGCAGAAAAGAGGGTAAGCAATCGTTAACCCACACTGTTTTTTCTCTTAGACTTTTTATTTTCTACTTTTAACCCTCCCTCTCTACTGTAAAGTGCTAAAGGTATATACATATTTATTTCCAGTATTGCATTAATAGTAATATTTAAACTGGCTATAGGGGGGTTTAGTGGTAATTTTTGCACATTGCAAATTTCTATGATTTGGAGGTTAGTTATTTATCATTGTGACATTCCTTTCTTCAGGTATTTTCACAGTTATAGATGTTACCATTAAGCCACCCCTTTATTTCAAATGGACTAAGAATATTTCATCTTAAAGTTGTTTACAGTGTCTAAGACAACTGCCCTTTGGTCAAAAATTATATTTCTTAATATATTCAGCATTCCCCAAACAAATGCATTCCATAATCTATTCAGCAGTCTGCATACAACGACAGTAAAGTTGTCCACATTATAAATAAGCCTGTTCATTAAGATGATAAAATGTTAAAACATTTCATTTGGCTAAGTTCAGCCTGTCAGAAGCTGACAGAGCTATTTTTGGCCTCAGCCAGACTTATGAAGAAGGATTGCTCTCTTCAGAGAGTTGCAGTATCAGCTGAGAACTGTGTCCTGGATTATAAAAGAAAAACGAACAACAAAGAAATCTTAGAACCAGTGAAAATAGGAATATTAAAAGAAGTTGGGAATGTATCAGGCAGGCAAAGCAGCTGCCTGAAACTTCATTTCTGTGACAGACTAAACTTAAAAAGAACACATAATGTAAATTCCATCATGTTAAACTAAATACTTTGTTTATTGAAAAGCTGACATAGCTGAAAAGTCTTTTTAAAGTGTATTTTTACATACGTGTAGGTGTTAATGCATGTATAGTAGTCTGATATGCTCCCCTATTTCACAAACTTCAGAATGACTTTAGGAGTATCTAATATGCTTATGGTCCTTCAAATCCTTCTCCATCAGAGTCTGTCATCCTGCACTGAATTTGCTGAGAGATGAAGCACCCAACTTAGCTTAAAGTATGAATCTTCACTGTTATCAGATCATTTTGACAAAAGAAATACTAGTGGGGATATTGATACTAGCTGACCACGTAAAAATCCATTTTCTTGCCTGTTAGGTACCAGTAGTAGAGGGGTAAGTTATCAGTTACAATTCCTGACAGCCACTGACTTGCAGCGTGCTGTTTCAAAAGGATTTTTTTGCATGTTATCATAACGAGTTTATTATAATGCAAAGCCTGGGTAAAAAATCTTTGGTAAGAGTTCTGGAAGTCACTGCTTTGGGTTTCTTTTGTAAAATTAACTCTTCCTGAATTTAGCAACTTTCAAGTGACAACAGAACTCTGTTCTGTCACAACATTTTTTAAACTGATGAAGAAGTTTTCATAGTAAAGGGATTTCAATGATTATTACTGAAGAATGCTGTTTTTTCCATAGATTACATGGTGTTATGTCAGACTCATCAACAAGGCATGCCTATTGTTTTTAAACATTTTTCATGAAATAGCTCAAGAACTATTAAATAATTCTCAGAGATTGAAATTTTAGATGAAAAACCTTTAGAGAGGTTAGTCATGTAATTGCAACATCCTACCCTGTTTGGAAGTTATAAGCAACTAAAGAGGCTGCATCTGCAACATAGTTCAACAGCAATGGTGTTTACTGGCCTGAAGTCCAGCTTCCAAGCCTTGTCTCTTTATTTGTCTTGGAACCATGTTGATGTGGACACAATGAGGTACACAGACACCACAGTACAGTTAAACGTGGAGATTTCAGTTTAATTTTCAAGCCATTATCAAGTTGGGATTACTACCCACAGCTGTGCAGGGAAGGCACAGTGTGATCCTTTTTACTGTGGAGTGGTGCAGAGGTGACATCTTGGCCGCTCTCAGGGTCTTTGCTGGAAGATGACACAGAGTCCCGAGTGTCGCTTCACCCAGCAAATCTCCAAGGGGAATAAGGCATTCAACCCCATGACCAACACCAGATCCCAGTAGCAACCTCAGCATTTGGAACAAGCCCCAGCATCCAGCCTAAGGCTTGCCAAATCCTTTCTCCCTCCTCTGTAAGTCACAGGATGTGGGAAGCATAGGAAGGGGGAGAGATATGGCAGTTGCCTTGCCGAATGTCTCATGGAGGGTGGTGGCTATGTCCAGTGTAGGAGTGGTGGGGAGAGGAGACCTCAAAGGGCTTTCCCAAGTGTCTCCCATCACTGTCTGGGGGACTCAACTACTTGCACACCCACTAAAGCTGTCACCTTGACAGCCTGGGAGAACTGTTTCAGGTTCAGTGGGGAGAACAGAACTGACTGGCTGGAGGACTGTACAGATGGGTGACTGAATCACATCTGCTGGTTAATTTTATAAAAGAACACTGAAATCATGAGGTATATACTTGTTTGACAAAAAAATTTGCATTTGAAGCATGAGTACTGGATGACAGGAAATATTTCTCTGGCTTTTTTTAAAAGCCTACCTACTATAAAAAGTTAACATGCTAGCACAAGGCACAATGGAGAGCTTACATCTCCACTTAAACAGAAGGCCCAATCTCTCTGCTAGTTATAAGGTTTCTTTGGTAAAATAATAATAATGTAATAAGAAAAATATACATATCCTCTACTGAATTGCTCAGAAGGTCATTCTACCTTTTTGTGCAGGCTCCTGCTTCTTATTGATATTTACTTGAACACGTCAATTAATAATAATGTAATATTTACTTTATTATGAATCATTTAACCATGATATAAGGAAGCTTTCTTATAGGACATTTATAAATAGGTCAAGTACTTTCTCTTTGGTGGGACGGATGGCAGAGTGATTCCCGTTGTCCAATATAAAGAGAGTATCACTGAATCAATATTGACAATTCTAACAAAGAACCCGAAGAAAATTGTCCAAAATCCAGCAAAAACTCTCCATTGTCTTAGGATCCAAACGGCAAAATCTATGTGCTACAACATTAGCCCATTAGCCCCCTGGTGAGGATGAAAATTTCTGCAGGGTACAGTATTTGGCAATTAATGCATCAGTTTTATACTGTAGCCACCCAGCTTCTCCCAACGCTGCATGCTTCCTCCTCCGTAAAGAGAGGAAGAAGTCTGGGTCTTGCCCATTGATCATCCTGAGCCAAAATACGTTCCCAGATTTCCAGACTCTGAGGCTGTTCAGATCCAAGTCTAAACTTTGTGCCTGAGACTGTTGCCCAGTCCTGTGTGGGTGGTGTATGAAAGATAAACCCTTCAAAAGAAGGCAAGGCGGGACACACAGGCTCTGACTGGGGGACAGCTGCTGGGAATGTAGTTTCACTTTCTGCCATAAAATCAAGTGGAGGAAATTGGGCAGCCAGAGAACACACCTCGAACTTGAGAATGAAATATTAAAGAGCACTTCACCTAGCCTTGAATTTGGTGTGGGGCAGCAGCAGGGAACACCACAGATTTGTGTTGAGATGCCTCCCAGCATGCACTAGTAATACTTTATTTGCTCCCCACTCTTTTCAGCAATTAATTTATAGTAGAAGAATTCAGCATGTGTTGGGTGACTTGTCATATGCAATACACTAAAAATGAGGCTTAGTAAAGGGGAAGGATTTAAAGACCGTAAAAGATGAAAAGACAAAAATTATGCAATCGTTAGATGAGGATTGTAGGACACAAATCACAATACTCCTAAGTACCGAGACCTTCAAGAGACCATATTGTGGTGTGATTTAAGATGCAGTTTTTAATAGGAAAGGCATGAGAATATAATCCACTGCGCAGCATGTGCTTCGCTGATTATGAGAAGGAATTTGACTGTTTACAGTATATACATATATTTTTAAAATTAAAACTAAAATTCCTGGTTAATGATTTATGATTTTCATAACCTGTGAAAGAATTAATAAATAGAGATAACTGGAGGAGTGGAGATTGAAAACAGGAGAGTGCTTGTCATGCTTGAATGCCCTGAATAGATATTTTAGCTGCTATGCTAAAAAGGTAATGCTGGTTCCCAAAACAGTCTGCAGATTGTTCAGAACTCAATTGTGCAGCCATAGTTGTCTGTGTGTTAAGAGAGAGCTAAGATTCATTTGAAAGAGGGCTTCTCATGTGGAGTCAGTCTATACAGCCTGCTGTGGAAGTGGAAATAATACCCAGTATCACAAGATTTACTATTCCTCAGATGCCTTGAATATTGATGGATCTCTGAACATTCTCCACTCTCAAAGGTAATTATGGCCTTGGAGCAGATGACTTGATTCAGTTAAATACCTTATAAAAATGGTAGCTCTCAGAAATTAATAAATACCTAGATACATGTATCAGTCCTTCTTGAAACCCCTGAAAAACGTGATTCTTCTTTCATTTTGACATGCTTTTGAGATACTAATGTCAGAAGTTGTATAAGTGATTTATTCAAGATTTAATATTTGTTACGAGAAAATTAAATAATCAGTTATGAGTTATGCCATATTTCAGAATGAAATGCTGAGGTTAATGTTAGGATAGCAACTGAATCACATTTATTCATGTTTACTTTGGTGATAAGTGCTATTTCTTCAAGAAACGTCAGTGGCTGCTAATCAATTAAAGACCCCTTCTAGACTGTACTACGTTCAGTTCAATTGCTACAGACAGAAAGAACGGAGAGCAGGTTTGTGGCAGCAGTCACTCAACAAAAGCATTCTTTTGTTCTATTTTTAATGACCTTAGTTGTGATACTTTTTTTTCCACCATAGTGATGAAGGCTATTGTCTGCAACCCTGTGCAAGAAGATCTGGAAATGTAAATCTGTGTCATTTTAGTAGGAAGCATGCTTTTAAGCCTGCCTCTGAAGATAATCCAGATGACAAAGTTAATTGCAGTCTCTGTGTACATTTCTAACAGATTCATAACAGCCTCCACATACAAAATCAAGGGTCATTCTTAACAGGTGTTTGCAGAGGGACCAGTCTCACTTTCCAACCTTGAACTGACACTGCTATTTTCATTAATGACACTACTTTTCTACTTTTGCTCTCAGTCAAA